TGTTCCTTAATTTAAGTTGCTCCTATTTCAAATGTCTGAATATGGCAACTGTAAAAACTTTAAGACACCACTGACCTATATTCTTTAATAAGTTCCATTTTTAAAATGTAACATTTTTCAATAATTTACTATTATTTTACAAGACATATTACTAATTTAGGCCCTTAGTTCTTTTTGTAAACGTGATTCTATCCATAGAGAAAGAGCCAAGCTTACAGGGCTACCTAGTCACTGCTATTCTCTTATTAAGCACATTGACGATTTATTATTTCCTAAAGTTAAATACTGAAGGAAACGCAAAGACCCAAATGAGGTAAGAAAATCAAATCTCTTTTTCATTAGAATTTCTGCTGGATTATAAATTTTCCATTTAATAGTAAATTCAGTATTGACATAAAAGAGGTGAGAAAATTTTACAAGTTGCATGCAGAGTTTTTACCATTCTATTGACTACTTAACATGATAGTCTTTCTAGTCTATCTGATTGAATCTACAGAAACATTCCCTAGCATTCACCCCCAATATATACATTGAGACTTCTATTTTCAAAATTACCTTTTCACACCACTCTCCCACCTCTTTCAACTGATAGTACCTTTCTAAATTTAGAGAAATTATACAAACTTCTTAAAGGCTATATGTTTTTATTGAACTATATGTAGAAAGTAAAAAATATATACATATTAGCAAGAGCATTTGTTGGACTATAAAAATATAACTATGCAATTGTAAAGAGCATTCTCTTGTGTGGTTATGGCACTGTATTCTAAAAACAAACTGACATCTCAGTTTATTTTACTTACACAGTAAGTTTAATTTACATAGAAATGATAGCGCATTTCAGGAGCAAGTCTTAAAAAACGATTTCTGCTGAATGACAGCTATAATAAGAGAGAAATAAACATAAACTAAAACAGCAGTTGTGAAACATATACAGGGTGGGGCAAAAGTAGGTTTACAGTTGTATGTGAAACATATTCTTGTATTATTATTTATTAATTATTATATTATTTTCCATATGAAAACTATAAACCTACTTTTGCCCCACCCTGTACAGTAGCTCTTAGCTGAAGACAAAATTCGATACTTAGTAAGCAAACACTATAAAAACAGAAGGGGTTTTGGTTTAGATTGCTGGCTAAAGTGAAAATATCTGTTTCCCTTAAACTTCAATCTTAAGCATATCAAAGGTCTTTATTAAGGCATTCTCCCAGGCAATCAACTCAAATTTGCACCAGCTTCTGAATTCTACCCTCTGCATGAAGGAAGAGCAGGAGGTTTTCAGTGCTTCTTTGTCCAGGACATGATGACATGCTTTCTACAGGTTTTTTCTGAATGGAACTAAAGATCTTATTGGTAATATAAAGTACTAAATTATTTGCAGGAGTTAAATACAAAGATTTATTTGTTTTTAAGAACTGTGAACTGTTACATAAGAACTTACATATTCTTAATTATAGTCACATAAGTCTATACAGTTTTACTATGAAGATTAAAAATTTTCCAACAGAATATATCGCAAATAGAGTCTATTTTTTATCGAGTAATTTTAATCAGCAAAGCTTTAAGAGTCTGAAACTTTTAGAACTTAAATGGAAATTATAATAATTAAAATTATTTAACTTTAAAAATAGAAAAATTATCATTAACAGATCATTTTCCTTTCTTCTAATAAGAAACATATCTTTATGTTTAAATTCCTAACATTTAGAAATTCCCTAAAAATGCATAGATCCAGAATTTATACTAAACAGTTTAATATTTGTATAACACTCATTTATTTTCAACAAGTATCATGAAGACACAAAGTTTTCCCAAACTGCTTAAAGACATGTATAAAGATATCATAATATAGAGTAAAGTACCTTAAGAAAAATAAAGCAAACTCATGCCTTTGGTTTACTAACATTCTTCTCTTTTTTTATTCCGTTTTCTTATTTATTTTTAATTTAATTTTTAATCTTACTAAATGGCATTCATCTTTAAGTTTTTTTTGGAGGAAGGCAAGATAAGAAGAAAAAGATAAGAGAAAAAGCAAATTGACAAGAGAGAAAGACTGTAGCAGAGGAGATGAGGGAACGCTTCTTAAAAGAAGAGACATCTGAGCCAAAACCTGAAGGCAGGCGGAGGAAGAGGTATCATGAACAATGGAGGAAGGGTATTTCAAACAGAGAAAACAATGTAAAGAAAGTACAAGGTGTAAATGAAGGACAGTAAGTTGGTTAAACCTAACTTGAAACTTGAGGGCACAGCTCAGAAATAGATATTAAGGAATACGGATGAAAAGGCAGGTCCACGTAGTGTTAAATCACACCATAATGAACCCTAAATAAATTCACTGTAGTGAAAATTGTGTCATTGTTTGTATGTAACTAGAACTTGTATATCTTGTGCCTAAAATGTAGGAAATAAAATTCAATTAATAACCAACTTTCAACAGTGAAATTAGCAATGAAAACAAGTATTTCAAATAAGACATAAGAAGCAAGATGACACACAACAAATGTTTTAACAACCAGACTTTCTTCTCCAACCCCTGGGTCTTTCATTGTGCTCACTTTTATGCTTGAAAGTTATGTTTACTGTTGATCAATATATTGGGAAATAAAAGGGATTGGAACATGAAGCTCAGGGGTCCAACAATCTCAATTTGAAAAATATTACAGCGAGAGTTAAATCTTGTGATTTTGTGTGATCACTTGGGGCTAATGTGATCATGAACACAAGTGTGAATGCTAGCATAGGAGGTGGAAATCTAGGTAATGCAGAATATTTTCTCTATATATAATCATTAAAGTGAAAACTCAAAATATTTTGATTATCATGGAGTAAGGCCCACCAAAAATAAATCTTTTACTCTCCCTATGTCCAAGAATTAGTTAGGAGATGCCAGGAAAAAGGAATCACTCATACATGGGATGATCTAACCTAGATTTTGATATAGATGATGTTGGATGACAGAGGTTGAGAGTGAAAAAGATGCAGATGCCAAGAAGGACAAGATGAATTTGGAGAACAAAACCTGTCCAAGTGAACAAGGGTACATGGCTTAAGGAAAAGAGTTAAATGTAAGTCCCATTAAAAAGCAACAACAACCCTAATCCTTCTTTAAGGCCATATTTATGAATATTCTATAATCAAGATAGTACCAGTTTGTCACATATAATTATCAAATTCAAGTGAAAACGGGCAAACAATTTTTCTGTGCAGCAGAGATTATTCAGAGTATTAAATATAATTAAGTTATAAATGCAGCAAAACAATGTTCAAACAGTGAAGGGCCTGACATGTTACCCCACGGTTAACCTGCTACCGTTGCATGGATCCTAACAGAAGACATTAAACTTCTGGGTTAGAGACAAAGAACTTTGTTATTAAGAGAACAGCAAGCATCATGAGCCTCATGTTTTCATTGGTTCCTCTTGCCCCTCAAATCCCAAATGGGCAATGTGGACAGGGCGAAGGTAGAGGCTGCACACACAGTGGGACTGTATCACAGCTGAGGAACCTCAAGCTTATGAAGCTCAATCTTCTAACGGGGTTGTGCACTCTTTGTGACCAGTGCAGGAAGGGTAGAGCATTATTTTCAGTGCTTTGGACAGCAAACAAATCTGTCCTCGGCCCCTAGATGAAGACACAATGTCTTCCAAGGTTGTATCCTACATAAAGATCCTCAAAAAGATAATCCAGAACAAAAGCTGTCAATACTTTGCTCAGAGACATGCAATAATGCAAGAAATTAACAGAGAACTGTCTCCTAACAAATATAAATTAAATTTCACATATTCTTTACCTTACTGTTTAACTAAGTAATCCATTTTGACGACTTTATTAAAGAGGCAAAAAAAAAAAAAATAGAGCTATGTCAGTGTTCCCTTACAGAAGTAAAATAGTAGTCTAGTTATCCACACTAATATGCATTTTACTAAAAATACAGGGTGTCCCCCAAAAATGTATACCCACTTTAACAGCTGATAGCTCAATTTTTAAAAAAATATATTCTTTATTGATTTCAGAGAGAGGAAAGGAGAGGGAGAGAGAGAAACATCAATGATGAGCAAGTCATTGATCGGCTGCCTCCTGCACGCCCCTTGCTGGGGATTGAGCCCAAAACCGGTCATGTGCCCTGACCCGGAACTGAACCTCCATCTCCTGGATCATAGGTAGATGCTCAACTGCTGAGCCATGCCAGTTGGGCTGATAGCTCAATTTTGAAAATGATATGTATTTTAATAAACACTGCCTTTATAATTATTTAAAGTATGTGTATACATTTTTTGGGCCACCCTGTACTTAATATGACACAGGATGAGTAAACATTTGGCTTTAATAAAACATTCACCTTAATGACAAATGATATTTTCAAATGTTTCAACCAGCAGTACCATGTGAAGTACCTAATGGTTACAAGGCCTAATCCTTTATCAAGTCGAAAGTAAGTAGGTTAGACCCAATTTGTTAGCCAAATATCAATCTTCATATAGAAAGCACTTTAAAAAATTTTTTATTGAGAAATAATTGACAAATATAATTGCATATTTTTGAAGTGTACAACATGATGAACTGATATATATATCAATGTAGAATGATTATCAAGATCAAGATAATTAGCATATCCATTACCTCACATAGTTAACATAGGTAGCTCTTTTTTTTTTTTTTAGGTAAGTACTTAAAAGAACACTTATTACTCCTTGCACAGTGGAGGGTTCAACCTCTTAAGACATTTTTAAAAATTGGCATGAATATTTTTTCCAACATAATGACTTACTACAAATATTAAGGGCATAGGAAGGATATGTGTGTAGAAAAACAAACTTTAAAACTGAGACTACGTTTCTAACAACCATGAAAAACAATCTAACAAGAAATAATCTAGCAATACCTTTTTGAAATCACTTTTTGTAGAACAAGTACATAAACTGCTTCAACTTTAAAACCTTTATTCAGACTATTCAAAATTGGAAAAAACAAGGTTGAAGTTGTATATATGACCATACCTCTCCTAGAGCTTCATATCTTTTCTGGTTCCATCTGTGCAAGTCTTCTCGGTAGTTAAAAACAAATGGTTCCCCAGTTTTTATGTGTCTTAACTGTCCCTCTACAAGATAAACAAACAATATTGCTATGCTTCAGAAAACATGTATAATAATATGGAAAGTACAACTAATATCTGATAAAAATTTACAAGAATTTTCTCAGAATTATTTTTTCATTTAGATTTTCTCTTCAAATATCAACATGATGCAAACATATAAATACACTAAAAGACTGGCCCCAAGTACTCAAATGTTAACCTTTTTGACCTTCATTTTCTAATCTAAAGTAAATTAACAGTATTTGAGGGCCTACAACATATAAGGTCCCACTTCTTAAGCTTAGAGGCTACCTGAAGAGTAAAAACATATTAAAAGTCAAGCAATTTTTCAAGAAGTTAAAAAAGAACGAAGTCAACAATCTAAAAACTGCCATGGGCAATTCATGTGGAATTGCCTAAAGTCTAAAATGACTTTGGGTTCATATGAAGGATCCCTGTAGGCTAGACCAGGCTCAGGTTTTGGTGAGATTTCTCAACTAGGCTTTGAAATATGGGTAGAATTTCAAAGAGAAATTGGAGAGAGGCAGTGAGTGAGCCAATACAGTTTGGACTGTCAAGTCAGACTCGCTCAACAGAGAGCATTTACTGATAATGAGTAACTTTACTAATAATTTCAAGAGTATACGCGATCCAGAGGCACAGACAAAACAGGGAGAATCTGAAAGAACCTGAGAATTTCTTCCCAGGTCCAGTCCTCTCACTGGATTGTACTCTCTGGTCCAGAGCAGGTGAGGTCTGTGAGTGAGTCATACAGCTTATCTCACACATTGGTGAGTGTTCTGGTTACAAAATACTTCCATGTTATGTGCCAGAGAGTGGTACTGCCTATGTAATACTCTTCAGAAAAACATGCCTCACATATTCACAGATTAATGGCTTGTTTACCATAAGCGATGCCAAATGAGTCATCCTGCTGAGAGTATTCCATGGAAAAGGACTCTCCTCATAGCAAACATTAGTCTGTACTTACTAAAAGATTAAATTATCAGCATGTTTACAAGGAGAAAAGACCAGGCCACCTGCCTTCTTTCTTTCCTAGGAGTATTCCCCTGGCAGTCAGGAGAGAAATAGACCACAAGTGAATTGCTTTAACTCCCCTGGTCACCGAACAATATAAACAAACTTACGAAAAAAGGACAGCAAATTCAAGTAGCAGGGAACAACTCGGTTTAATAGAAACAGAGTATTGAGCCAAATTGTATAATTTCACACTGGAGGACATGTGGGATCAAATAGCGCACGGCCCAAATTACTGGTCTTGGACTCTGTCCTAAGAGCAGAGAGGCACAAAGAAGGGTTTAGTGGCACAAGAGGAACATGATTAAGATGAGTGGGATTAGTGTATGATTTTATCCAACGAGGGCATGCAACCGTGGAGAAAGACTTGAAAGTTATGGCACTAAAACTTGAACCCAGGAAATACACTACTCCCAAGTAAAACCACTTCACTATTTTTATGAATCAATTTTACCACATATAAAATGGATAGTTTTAATATATAAAATAAAGGCTAATCTGTTATCATAAACTTCTTTTTAGTACTCTCAACATGAGACACTGTACTGGATCACTATTACACTCTTCTGTGCCAGATGATGTTGTAAAAACAGAAGATGTATCTAAGTTTTTCTTTCCAGAAAAGGGAAATTCCCATAGGTATCAATACACGTAGACTGACAGCATCTGCAAATTGAACCATTGTGATTTTGACTAAAGTAGCCTTAAAGGTGCATGACACATAGTAACGTGTAATAGGAATGTGAAATGTATTTTCTCTGAGACTAATGTGTGAAGAAGAACTGACTTACCTAGCTAGTGAGTAAATTTAACAGACCACTTTTATCTTCATCTCAAAGGGAGGTTGTTGTGTTTGTTTGTGTCTTTAAATTCTCTACTCATTTTGGACACAGTAATTCTCATAAAATGATAAAGATTTTGATTCTTTAGGAAAAAATAGGCCCCATCAAAACAGCCAACTATTAGCATTAGTGTTAAAAGTGGAAAGAAGGTAAAGAGGCAAAAAAAAGTGAGCATTCTTAACCAGAAAAGCTACCTGGATCATTTTTGTTATAGTGGTATTTGCAAATTTGGTATTTCTTGAAGGTTTGGAAAATCTCTCCAGCTACTGTTGAAGGTATGATTTAGGATACTGTAGCTCATGGTCCCCTAAAGTCAGTTGTAAAGTTTCATATGTATACACAAATGGGAATTATTCTGGGAAGTGCATACATATATTTTATCAGATTTGTGGTAGAGTCTAAGAACCAAAACAGGCTATCACTGGCCTAAATGAATCAAGCAATTAAAAGTATATAGGATATTTTCTGTAGTAAGAGTTTAATGAATATCAAGTATAATGAAAGACATGAATCAAACTTAAACGGTCTACAAACAAGCCCAATTATTTTTTTGGTGATACAAAAGTGTGCTTCCTCATATACTGCACTAGGGCACAGGGAGTGCGGGTGAGGGTAAAAGTGGAAAAACCCTCACCTTCATCTTCCAAAGCAAGGACATTTGGGCTGGGCCTTATATAATTACAACTGGAGAATGGCTAAGTAGACATTTTAAACCCAAAGAGTATTTAAACAGGAACACTGATTTGAAACAACAAGTATCAGTTTGATTCGGGTAAAAACAATCTCTTCCCTTTTGCTTATAGTGAACTTCATATCCAAATTTTATTTTTACCCAACTAAGAACTTTAAAATCCTTTAGAAAAATTTAGAAGCTTCTTCAGTCAGGTAATTAAAGTTTCATTTTGAGATTTTCATAACAGTTTTTGTCATTATAAATCTGAAAAAGAAGCCCCCAAAGATACTAAGTTAGACTTAGCCTTTTAGGGATTTAATATTGAGACCCAGTTTCATGTTTTCAAATCCTCACCTCTTTGAAAAAGTATGCACCATTAACCCTGAATTCAAAGGTGAACTCTATCATGCTAAAAAGATCCTTAAAAGCGATTTTCGACTTGGAATGTAAGCATCTGTTAGTCTATGCAAGACACTGTCCAGGATATTTAAAAAATAAATGGTAGGTTCGTTCAAGGATGCATGTGCATTTGAGGTGTGTACATAAAAGGGCACATGCATGCATGTGCAAAGGTGTAGGTGTGTACAAAAGTGTGAGTGTAGGGCATGTGCATGCAAGTGTGTACAAAGTATGCCAAGATGTATGAGTGCATGAGCAAGTGTGTGTGTGTGAAAGTATCTCATAAGAAAGGGAGAGATAAAAGTGTATTGCTCCTTTGTTTTCTATTCACTTGAAGAAATGCTCAAGGAAGACGACAGACTTCAATGAAAACTGATGTCCTATATCCTTAAAGAAAACATAGTTCTATGATTTACCCACACTACCACACAGTCCCCATTCCAGTTCTGAATAAAAGAACCTAGTAATCATTTCAAAGGAGCATATGCGATGTCATTCTCAGTGCTCATTTGATTCTGTTAATTAAAATAAAAAGAAATTCAAAAAAATATTATGACTCATACATATTTTGGCATAAGATATCCTTTATTTGAAAAGCATGAAAATTAATATAAAAAAAGTGATCAAAGTTTCCAATATCTTCTATTTAAACTCATTTAATATTCTAGTATAACTGATATTGTTAAAGAATATCCACTAACACAGTGATGACAGATCACCAATTTAGTTGATGCAGAGCAACAAATAGAAAGCTCCAACTCAAATGCTACCTAGCCTGTAATAACATTACCCTTTGAGTATAACGGTGTGTTATTAATCCAATGAATCATAATTAATTGTTCCAGAAACATCCTTGCAATCTATGGTATGTGCTTCTAAATCCCAAGTGCAAAGTTTATTTTATTCAGAATTTAATTAATAAACTTTAAAATAAAGATGTTGCATAAAAAAGTCACAGAAAATTGAGCATTATGTTTTAAAATATCACAGATAATTACTGCCAGTCACTTCATTTTAAATAACATGTGAAACAGTAGCATATGTCTATATACTATAATTGGGAATTCCAAATGGATACCAGGGAGTTGAATGCTCAGGGTTGAAATACCTAAGCCGCATCTAATTCATGTCCATTGGTTTAAGTGACTTGACAATTTATGGGAAATTATGACTTGGTTCTTTTAATTAAGTGAAGAATTTCACCATGAAAAGATTATATATTATTTCTCAAAAGAAATACATAAAACATTCTTGCGAGCACATAAAAGTAGCAAATAACATCTGTCCTGTGAGTCTATTAGCATTGTTAAATAAGTATTGTATGTAGTATATACCACTTACTTTCATTAAAAGCATATTCAAATCCTTCCAGGGTATCAGGAAAATCAAGAGGTGGTTCATCTTTTTTCATTAGTTCATCCAAATCTATCCTAGATAATAAATCTAGAAAAAAATGATAAGAAATTTATTTATATTCATTTTCATAGTTAACAAAGTTTATACTGTAAAGTATTTTTCTGTTTTATTAGATTACTTTTATATGTTGCCATAACTGACAATGCTATTAAATTTCTAAGCCCCTAGAGTGCTATATTATAATGAAGTACATTATCAACCTTAACATAAGAACTTTCAAAAGTATAATTCTCAGAACAATCATAAATCAGATCCTAAACACCACTATAGGAAATTATCAACTTCTTCCCTTCAAAATATACGGCTATTAATTTGTACTTCATTAACCTCCTTTTATTGTTTTAAAAGTTTCAGATATTAAGATGACTTTTAAAAGGTCACTAAATTTTAAAATATAAATGAAACTACTGTTTATGGGTATGAAAATTTATAAATCTAAATAGTGGCAAATATAGCTTATTATTTCATTTTAGGGGAAAATTAGAATATTAAAAAAATGATAACTGAATAAAATGGTTAACACAAACCAGTTTTTATTCTTCACATCATTTGATTTTATATGATCAAAAAAATTGTGAACAAGATTCTTTAAAGTAAACATTTTATTTGGGAATCATTTTAGATTTACAAAAAAGTTGAAAGATAGTACAGGTATTATACATTCCCTTCACCCAGCTTCCCCATCGTTAACATATGGAGTTAAAATGGTACCAATGTTGGTACATTGCTATTAACTAAGCCCAGATGCTATTATTCATCAGTTTCCCATAATGTCCATCTTCTGTTCCAGGATTCCATCCACTAGACCACACTGCAAGTATTCATTATGTCTGGTCTGTGACAGTTTTTAGTCTTTGCTTCTTTTCCATGATCTTGACTGTTCTGAGGAGTACTAATCAAGTATTTCATAGAATGACCCTCGATTTAAATGTCTGTTTTTGTGTGTGATTATACTAGGGTTATAAGTTTTAGAAAGACTATTGCAGAGATTAGCTGCCCTTCTCATCACATCACAGGTGTAAACCTTCATCAGTTGGTTAAGGCAGTGTTTGCCAGACTTCTTCACGATGAAGCTACTGTTTTTCCCTTTTCACAATCTATTCTTGTGACTAAGTCTAGCCCACTCTCAGAAATGGAGAGGAGGAATTATGCTCTATCTCCTGGAGTAGAGAGCATCTACAAATATTATTTGTAATTCTTTTGTGTGGAAGACTTGTCTCTCTTCACCCATTTACATATTTATTCAATCATTTATTTGTATCAGTATGGATTCATTGATATTTACTATATACTTTGGGTTACAATCAAATACTACATCATTTACTTAGTTGCTCAAATTTTTGCAGTGTTGGCCGCTGTAAGCTCTTTAACTTGGCTCTCAGACCCCTTTAACATGCTTTTTCATCTTTTTGTTTTTGAACATTTCCTTACTTTCTGCTACTACAAGATGCTCCAGGCTTATCTTGTGTTTTCCCTCCCCAGCCCTAGAATCAGTCTGTCTGGAAGCCTTTAATATCTTTTGGCTCATATTATGGGATGAGGCAAATTGCTCACTATAAGTCATCAAAAAGTCATATCGAAACTCAGAAAAATAGAAAGATAAACTTCAAATTTATTCAATTCCAAAAATATTTATAAAAAAAAAGTTTAAGTTTTGAGAGTTTTCATTGTAACTCAAGTTCCCGATGAGAAAAAGCTCCTTGGATAGGTACTAAAGCAAACTAGTCCCTTTTTCTACAAAAGAAGTATCTCAGAAGTAACACTTTATTTCTGTTTCTCACAAAGATATACCAAATCCATCTGTATGGCTCATCAAAATATGCTAAAGAAAAAATTTGTCTACCTCAACTCTCCAGTCTCTCTCTCTGTGTAAGCCAACAAAAAATGTATAAAAAAATCATTGTTCAGTACTCTTCAAAGTGCTATACCAAATAAACCTAAATTTACAAAAAATATACCATCTAAAACATGTAAACATTAAAGAAAAATTTTGCAAATTCTCTAGTAAAAGGAAAATGTCACATAATATGCACACCAGGCAAAAAATAGGATATGTGCTGACAAATTTCTGATTCATTAGTAAAGTTGTGAAAACCATATAATCTGTACAAAGCAGAGTAAAATGGAAGATATTTTAATGTCACAAATTGTCTTGGAGTAGCTAGAAGATTCTCACTTCTCGCCTTCCAATGAGTTGAGGTTCTTGGGCAAAATCGGATTTCTTCACTTCACAGTCATTTTCCACAGTTCAAACCTTAGAAATCTTTTAATCAGAAATACAGAAACCAGCCAATATATAAGCAGATGTATTATGTCTAAGAGCCATTTTCTCTTTCCACCAGGTAGAAAAGGTTTCACATACTTTACCTCATTTGATCACCATGACCCTATGAAACAGCAGCACATATTATCATAGTCACTGTCTTTCAGACAGGAGGTGAGCTCAGAGAAGTAACATGGCTTGTCCAAAATTATACCTTAACAGTAAAGTGGGCTTAGTAAAATAATGTATTTCCCAATACCTAACTCAGTGCTCTTTCAAAATCACCACACTTATTCTATGTGCCCTATCAATCCTAAAATATTCAGCTCCCTCTCTTCATTACCTTATAAAGAATAAATAGTAATTAGTACAGAAATATGCTTTCACTTTGCTCAAATGATAAAATGAACAACTAAATAAATAGGCATTCCTCAAACTTCTCTGTTAACTAGAGAGCAAAATACAGATATTTTTTACTTCATTAGCGTTGAGGAAACATGTAGAAAGAAACTGTCAGACTCTCTTTCTGCTTTGTAAAAGGAAAGCAATACTGTATAACTGTATTTACACACAGAGACTAGGTCCCAAAAACACTAACTTAGGTAAAATTCAAGCATAATAAAACATTTTCATTGACAATCCCTTCAATCACCTACAAAATACAGCACAACCAAACCCATAAAACATGCATCAGATGTGACAAAACTGTTTTTTCCTAAAACATGCCTCTGGTGACTAAAGTGATTCAGCAACTAGAATTCTAAACTTCAGCTAAGCACACACAATAACTGGATAAAAATAGCATTTGGTACCCAAAAGAATTGAAAACAACGACTCAAACAGATATCTGTGCACCCATGTTCACAAAAGCATTATTCACAACGGCCAAAAGGTGGAAACAACCCGGGATGAATGGTATGGCGATTAATTTAATGTGTCAACCTGACTGGCCATGGGGGGCCCACATATTTGGTTAAACATTATTCTGAGTATGGCTGTGAAGGTGTTTCTGAATGATTAACATTTGAATCTGTAGACTGAGTGAAGCAAAATGCCTTCCTCCAATAAGGATGAACCTCGTCTGATCCACTGAAGGTCTGAATAAAACAAAAATTTATACACGGGGAAATCCAGGAACATGTGCGGAAAAAATATTAAGGGTATGGGATAATGGTGGAAGGAACATCAGATAAGCTTCCTTGATACAGGCTCACTGGCATATATTCTGTATTTAATATTGCAGGTTGGGGAGTTAGGAAGGGCTCTAACAGTTTGTTTGATTGGTTGGCTGAAATATGAACCAAAAGGTGGTCCACAATGAGTGGATATGTTTTGGTTTAATGTAAAGGGAACAATTTAAAGGTATGGGGAGATAGGAGTATTAAAGTGGATTTGTCATTGAAGACCTACTCACCCACCCTGGAAGGGTCCAAAAACATACTTTTCACCACTGCTATGAGAAATAAATCTGTGATGAGAACCCTGGAATCCTTAAAGAGCTCCCTGATGGCTCTTCTCTTATGCTAGGCCTTAGCGTGGGAACTAAAGTCATTGAATTAAGAAACATAAATGAAATAGGAGTAACTGGTTCCTAGGGTGGCAGCAGCCAAGTGGGAGCACTCTCCCACCAAAGGTAAGGTGGGCGTGGTTACTGGAATGGACAGCAGAGTCAAAGCAGCAATCAGAATAGTCTGACTCACACATACCTATGGCATTGGCTAGTTGAACATGTTGTTCCTAGAAGTAAGATAGGGAGCCTACTAAATTCTTACTTGATATGTATAAACAGAAAAGTTCTAGGTCAAATGAACAAAAGTCTAACCTGAATAAAAAATGGTCACAATCAATTCCCAGACTTAAGCCAGCTTACAGACCCAGAACAACTTGGGAGAAGAAGGGGCCGAATCCCTTAAGGAATGACTCAGGAACAGTGCCAAAAAGTACACAGTTTTCTCCCATTCTTCCCCAAAAGGGACCAAAGGCCTTATACCAAGATAACTGCATCGGGGAAAAAGAAATAATCAAACCTTTCACAGACTTATGGACACTGGCTCTGAAATGAAACTGATTCCAGGAAACTCAAAAGGTCACTGAGGTTCATCAGAGTAGGGGTTTATGGAGGACAGGTATTCAATGGAGTTTTAGCTCAGATTCATCTCACAGTGGGTTCCTGAACTCACTCTGTAGTTATTAAACTAAGTCATAATTTAGTTTGCTTTATCTTGATCAGTTTTCCCTTCAATATGATATAACTCTGGTCCAATACATGAATGCCATTATATTGATTGGATCTAGTAATCAAGAAGTAACAACAATCCAGAGTTATTGGCAAGACATTTGGTTGTCAGAGGGTAAGAAATAAATGACAAAAATTCAGGGGCTTTCCACTCCAGTGTAATTCCTAGGGGTCCAATGATGTGGGTCATGTCAAGATATCTCATGTCAAGGTGAAGGATAAGTTGTTGCAACGGCCTTTCCTACAAATTAAAAAAGAGGCACAATGCCTATCAGGTTTCTTTGGATGTTGGAGGCAACAAAGTCCTCATTTGGGTGTGTTACTCTGGTCCATTTATCTGAAATGCTGTCCAGAATAAAAGAAAGCTCTGCAGCTGCGTGTGCTGCTCTGCTACTTGAGCCATATAATCCAGCAGATCCAATGGTGTCAGGGGCAGATCAGGATGCTGTTTGGAATCTTTGGCAGGCCCCTCTCAATGAATCAAAGCACAGGCCCTAAGGATTTTGGAGCAAAGCCCTGCCATCCACTACAGATAACTACTCTCCTTTTAAGAAACAGCTGTTAGTCTGCTACTGGTCCTTTGTAGAGACTGAATGCTTAATCATGGGCTACCAAGTTATCATGTGATCTTAGCTGCTCAGCATGAACTAGGTGTTAGCTAACCCACCAAGTCATAAAGTTGAGTGGGTACAACAGCACTCCATCATCAAATGGAAGTGGTTTATATGTGATCAGGACTGAGCAGGCCCTGAAGGCAGTTAAATGAAGTCTCCCAAATGCCTATGGTGGCCACTCCTACTGCCCCACCTTTTATCTATCAGCAGGAACCCCTCACGGGAAGCTCCTACCATCAGTTGGGTTCCTACACAAACTCAGGTCTGGTTTACAGATAGTTCTGCACGATATTGAAGCACCACCCAAAAGTGGGCAACTGAAGCACTAGAGCCCCTTTCTGGGACATCCCTGAAGGACAGTGATGTAGGGAAATTCTCCCAGTGAGCAGAATTGAGAGCAGTGCACCTGGCTGTTCAGTTTGCTTAGAAAGAAATATGGCCAGATGTGTGATTATATATTGATTCATGGGCTGTGGCCAATGGTTTGGCTGGATGGTCAGGGACGAAATGAACATATTAGACAATTGGTGGCAAGGAAATATGGAGAAGAGGTATGTGAACAGACCTCTCTGAATGAGCAACAAATGTGAAGATATTTGTTTCCCAAATGAATGTTCAATAAAATATTTTAATAATCAATGGGTAGGATGACTCATTCTATGGATACCAGTCAGCCTCTTTGCCCAGGCACCTGTATTCACAGGTCTGGAAATTAAGGATTAAAAATGGGAGTGGTGCCATTCACTATTACCACTAGCCTACAAAGAAAGAATGTTTACTCTTACTACTCTTACATCAAAATAAAAAGCTTCTGCATAGCAAAAGAAACGAGCATCAAAATGAAAAGGGAACCCACTATATGGGAGAACATATTTGCCAATGATACATCTGATAAGTGGTTAATTTCCAAAATAAATAAAGTACTCATAGAACTCAACAAAAAGAAGACAAACAATCTAATTAGAAAATGGGTAGAAGACCTGAATAGGCACTTCTCCAAAGAGGACAATACAGATGGCCAAGAGATGTATGAAAAAAATGTTCAACATCACTAATCATCAGAGCCATGCAAATTAAAATGACAATGAGGTATCACCTCACATCTGTCAGAATGGCTCCCATCAACAAATCAACAAATGACATGTGCTGGTGAGGATGTGGAGAAAAAGGAACCCTAGTACACTGCTGATGGGAATGCAGACTGGTACAACTATGGAAAAGTGTGGAGTTTCCTAAAAAATTAAAAATGGAACTGCCATTTGACCCAGTGATTGCACTTCTAGGAATATATCCTAAGAAGCCTGAAACACCAATAAGAAAGAATATATGCATCCCTATGCTCATAGCAGCATTATTTAAATAGCTAAGATCTGGAAACAGCCCAAGTGCCCATCGGTAAATGAGTGAACAAAAAGAGCTATGGTACATTAATGGAATACTACTCAGCTGTTAAAAAAAAGGACCTATTATCCTTTGAAGCAATGTGGAGGGACCTGGAGATTATTATGCTAAGCAAAATAAGCCAATCAGAGAAAAACAAATATCACATGATCTCCCTTATATGTGGAATTTAATGAACAAAATAAACTGACACACAAAATAGATCCAGAGGCATGAAAGCATGCAACAGACTGACAAATCTCAGAGGAAAGGGGGGTGGGGCAGGAAGAGATCAACCAAAGAACTTACATGCACATATGCATAACCCATGGACACAGACAATAGTGTGGGAATGGGGAGGAGGGGGGTCAATGGGGGTAAAAAAGAGGGACATCCATAATACTTTCAGTCCTCATCTAACCTGACTCATAATCACGGCTAATTTAATTATTCCCATTTTCTTCATCTGAGGTTCTAGATCTCTCTTTCTTGCTCCTGGTTCTCAGCCTATCTTACTAGAAATTCATTTTCAGCCTCTTAAACTGGCTCCTTATCTTCCTGACCCTAAGGTTGAGATGCCCTAGGGCTGAATCTTCAGATGTCTCCTCTATTCTGCCTACATTCACATCCCTGATGATCTCAATCATGACCATAACTTTAAATATTATCTCCATGCTAATGATTCCCAAAACTATTATCTCTAATCCAAATGCTCTCCCAAACTCCATACTCAACTTCTCTACCTTCATGTTTAGGGGGCATCTTAGTTTAATATCTAATACATTTAAAAGCTAAATTTTACTTTCCACTACAACCATGGCCACTGCAATCAGCTTTTCCCAATTTTTTTTTTTTTTTTTAATCTAATTAATGGTGCCTGTCTTATAGCTATTTAGGCCAAGAACCTTCAAAGTTATCTTAGTTGTTTTCTTAATATCTCATGTCTAATCCAACAATGAATTATGTCATGTCATCTCTTCCTTCAAAACTTAATCAGAATCTGTCCATTCTTTATCATCCCTTCTGCTACCACCCCAATCCAAGATGTCACATTTGTGAGGAGAAAGCAATGCTCTTAGCTATTTTCCACTGTTGTAGGTAAGAAAGTGTGGTAGGTAAGGGCTAGTTACACCATTCCTTTAATAGATCATTTGCTCTAAAAGCAGGTACAAGGTGAGGCAACAGGTTGCTTTATCCTATGTATTCATTAGGCTTTCATAAAAAGAGATAAAAGAAGGCAGTAAGAGAGACTCTTGAGGTATCTTTATCATCCAGCCTGCCACAGCAGGGCAAAACAGCAGCTAGGGATTCAGAGGCCATAGCCAAGATGGTCTGGTACATACTCAGGTGGGACATCTCCTACAAAGCATCTTGAAGACCAGATGGACTATGCTGAATCACATAAAAGAGATTTTTATCATCTGGCATAGCTGGCATCTCAACATTTAGAAAACACATAAGATATTTTTTCCACCACCAAAGAAAGTAACTGTGAGACCCTGCACAAGTTACTTAGATAATCTGATCTTGGGCAAGTCACTAGACAGTTAGACTGAAATATATGATAATAAAGAAAACTTAGAGGTCCATAATTAATACTTTTTTAGAGGTAAAATTATTTTACATAGCAGGTTCTTTGTGTTTGTTTTTTTGTTTGTTTTTAAGCCTAGAACTCAAAAATCCCAAAGAATGTCTAAGGCAGATTCCTTCTGAGTTGTTAACATGAAGGGCCTCTCATAAAATATCCCCAGTGCCAATGCCACAAAGATAAAATGCAGGATTAGGCAGATCACTACCCTAAATTAGTATGACATTGGAAGCAATAAAAATATGATAAGGGCACTATCTATAGTGTTAGTTTTACCAAAAATTTATATGGCCTTGAATAAGAAAAGTGTTAAGAATTCTGGATGTAAAATTACATGATTCCATGATTTATTTACTGAGTACAGACTATATCTCAGACACTGAGATAGTTGCTGTGAGGGATACAAGTAATTACAAACAGAGTAAGTACTATTTTTATTTTAGAATTGAAATAAATGGCAGGCCACCTGAATATTCCTATACCTTCATCAGGCAAAATGAAAATATCCTAAAAAAGCAAATTAAGTGTGTACCTTTCAGTGCTGTAGTCTTTTCTTTTTCATCTGGACCTCCCTGCTGGATTTGTGCCATGCTTATCCAAATTGGGCACAAAATTAAAGAGCTCAAGGAAATAGACATCAATCTTCAGAAGACAGTCTAGAATGAATGAAAGCAATAAATTAAGCTCTACTCAATCCTACCTACTCCATGAAAACTTCCTTGGTCCTCCCAGTTGAGATTAATCTCTCTACCCTGATTTCCCACTGCACTTTGTTGATATCTATACTACAGTACTTATCAAAGCCTGCCTTGCAATGTAGTTATTTATGTATTTATCTGGGTCAGCTAACAGATTACAAGCCCCAGGATAGAGGTATCAAGTTTTTTCATCTTCACATCTCTCATGTTGCCAAACACAATACCTTATAGTACATACAGATACCTAGTGTTACTGAATTGAATTTAGCTAAACTTACTATTTAGCTTTAGTTCTTTATTATCTAATTTAAAAATCTCCAAGTAATTTCAAAAACTTGAAGTTTATTTTAATATATTGTAAGCATATGCCCTCTACAAGGTCAGAATGTCTTCTCCTGGAACATGCAATCAGAAGGAGAAAAATAAATAAATACAAAAGGTAGCTATAAGTTTCCTCTAATATAATTCAAAATACAACTCTAAAGGAAAAATTATCCCTTTTAAAAATGAAACTATGGAAACAACCAAAGTATCCTTTGATAGATGATTGGAGAAAGAAGGTGTGGCACATACATACAATGGACTACTATTCAGCCATAAGAAAAGATGAAATACTGCTGATTGCAACAACGTGAATGGACCTTGAGAATATCATGCTAAGCAAAATAAGTCAGACATAAAAAGCTAAGAACCATATGATTTCACTCATGTGGGATATAAAACTGAAACTCAGACACAGACAACAGTACGGTGGTTACCAGAGGGAAGGGGGATGGGAGGGTAGTAAAGGGTAAAGGAAGCCAAATATATGGTGGCAGAGATGATTTGACTAAGTGGTGGGCACACAATGGAATATAAAGATCACGTATCATGGAAAACCTATATAATCTTATTAACCAATGTTATCCCAATAAAACTAATTTTTTTAAAAAAGAAACTATGTTACATTCACTGTCTGGAAACCATACTCTACAAATGGCAGTCAATGAACACTAATAAAATTTGTTTTATCAAAGCCTAATTCTGCATTTAAACTATAAATAGATGCCTTTCACAGGGTTACCATGAACAGTAAAAAAAAAAAAAAAAATGCAACACATACAATGGAAAAATTAAACTAATTTAGTCAATCCACAACTGTTAATGAAATTATATAAAAATTCCATTCATGACAACAATAAAAGAAGACTGAATATTCCTCTGATTAAGGAACCCAAATGATTTGCTACCCACTCAGCAAAACTCTGCTTCTATTCAGAGGTACATTTCATAATTATCTTTAAAAACTGAGGCATTTTCAAAGTCAGCAGAGTGTAGCAGAAAATACTTTAAGAAATTAATACTGAAAAATAACCTTTTTAAACTATGAAAGCTCCGAAGAGTCATAAATCAATGCTGCCCTATCTCAATGCTAAATGTAGGTGGGGTGGTATAAGAGGAAGAGCACTCTGGCTCTACCACTAACTAGCCATGTGTCTCTGATAAATTACCTAACTTCTCTGTGCCTCATTTTCCACATTTGTAAAATGAAACTGATAATCATGCTGCCTCATAGTGTTACAGTGAGGTTCAATGTAAAACATTCAGTACAGTGCCTGATGCATAATTATGATCTCAATATCTGTTGGCTTATATTTTTTCATTGTTTTAATTGTATCCCAGCTTCACCACTTAATAATAGCAGACTCTGGGTCAGGGACAAGACACTTAATCTACAAAATCTTCAGTTTCCTCATTTATAAATGTTGCTCATATAACAGTGGTTGAGAATTAATATTACAGAAGCTGTGTATAGTTGATCATTGCTATTATTAGCAGCATTACTGCTCCTCAATGGTTTGAGGTTTTCTAATAGCAGTAACTAGAATATAAGACTATTTTTGACTGGCAAAGTCTTTTTACTTAACATGGATGTACTTTTCTTCTGTGAAAGTTAACTTAAAACTCTGTGAATCCTACATGAATAAAATGTGTCTATAGTTCCTTAATGAACATTCCAGTCTGTAGGATGGACAATGTACAACACATGAGGATGCAATGGTGAGTCAAACAGACATGGCCCGAGTGAGGGCTTACTCCCTAGCTGCCAAATCAAACTGCCAAATAACCACTAAAAAAATATATAAGACTTAGACTGATAGTTGCAGTATTATAAAAAGGCAACATTTGTAAGGGCTATCTATTTACATCCAAGAATTAGTCTTATCTGTTAAAAGTTACACAAGTTTATGCATGTTTCACCAGGGACTCCTTATTATACAAATTAAAGAGCAATGTTCATAATGAGAGATTCCACACAGTGCTCTTTGCTAACAATTCCACAACTAAATTAACTATCTACAAGGAACTTCTTGCATTTTTACTTGATCACTCTGCTAATTCAGTATTTCTTCTAAATATAAACTGTTCAGTTATTTTTCATTAGTATCAACATGACTGATTTCTAACAGAACAATTTATACAACTATTTCAGTTTAAACAAAAATGAAATTATAAAGTATTTTTGGTGCTAGAGTCATTTTCAAGATTTATACATGGTGACTACAATTAGTAATACTGTATTATATACTTGAAAGTTGCTAAGAAAGTAGATCTTAGAAGTTTTTCCCACACACAAAGGTGAAAACTATATACTATATAAGGTGAGGGATGTGTTAACTAACCTTATTGTGGTAATCATTTTGTAATATACGCATAGTGCATCAAATCAGCACATTGTAAACCTTAAACTTACATAATGTTCTATGTCAATTATATCTCAATAAGGCTTTTAAAAAGCTCTAACTACTCTACAACGTTTAATAACACATTCTCCCTGTAAATTTTGATCTCCATGAGGACAGGTATCATTCTGTCCCTAGCACAATGTCTGGCATATTTGGACCTCAACGGTATTTGTCAAATTTACAAATAAATGAGTAAAAGATAGAGGGGGGAAAGGATTCACGTTTTAAAGAATCATTTTCAAGGTTCCCAATATTAAATATTAATTAACAACTATATTCCTATTCTATAGGAGAAACCTAAAAATACACATTGCAATTCACTGAAGTGATGATATGTAAGTTAAGAGACTACTAATTTCCATCTGAGACCCTAAACGTTATTGCAGATGCAAAGCAGGTAAGTATGAAGCAGAAGCTACTTGTCTGTTGCTTTCTAACGCGTTAGATTTTTTTCACCCTTTCCAGTTATTTTCCATGGCTATGGCACAGCTGGTGAAACTAAATCAGGAACATTTAAAATTCTCAATTTAGTTTCCCTAATAAAAATTCAGAGTTATAACCTGCATGACCACAGATAAACACTACTGAAAATGCAGCCAGCAAGCTGTTTGATACATTTGATATACATTAATATGTGCTCTTGACATAGTTTATTTAGTATTATCTGATGGAGGTTAGGTTATAGGGAATAAAGTGGTGGAAGGTTTTTACTGATATGAATTGGGACACAGTTGACATGTTGTATACTTCATGATAACCGCTGCTGTTTAAATGTGGTTTCTTAGAAATGGTTATAGTATAAACTAGATTCAAAACATCTCAGTTTGGGATTTCATTCTGTGAACTACACAAAGCAATTATCATATCTCCTTCCTTTCTATGATTCCAACAGAGAATCCAGTATGTATAAATAAAGCTGTAAGTAACTTGTCATGTGTAATCTTTATCTAGCCAGCATTTTAAAACATGAAACAGCATAATATTTCTTACTACCCTGTTTGCTCAAAATATGGCCTGAACACTTATAAAACGTACAGAAAGATACACAGAAGCCTTAGTTTTAGGTGTGTTTGTTTTTAGGCAAGTATAAACAGGAACTAGATAGAGATGATTTTTGCAACAGAAGGCCTTTCCACCTCACATTCTAAAAGCAATGATAAATGTACACAAAATCTCACAAGACAAGTAAAACTGTGTTAATTCCTGGAACTCCTAGAGCTGGTTTGGTCCCAAAGAATCTTTGCTCACTGTCAAGCTCTGGAAATCCAGCTCACAATAGCCTACTTGCAACTAAAATTACAGTACATGAGTTCGTACCAGAGATTTGTGAGGAACCAAGAAGATCCACTCAATTTCATTAAAATATCTATGTTACTCAAAAGCTGCTTATCAACAAAGGTTAGTTCAGAATAATCCCATGATTATTGTTTATACTGTTTATATCTTATTATAGCTTACAGGTCTTAGGCTACAGTACAAAAACTATATGTTTTGGAGTGTGTGTGTGTGTGTGTGTGTGTGTGTACACAGGCATATGGGCACTGGGGAAAAGGCTGGAGAATGAGGGCATTGTACTGGAAAAGACCTGGACAACAAAGCGCAGGGTAAAAATGGCTTTTGGTGCATAGAAAATGGTGAATTCTGGAGAGAATGTAATGTCTGTTTGGATTGAGATTTGGCTCAGACTAGGAATACAGGGTTCCAATCCAAGCCTATCTAAAATAATTCCTTAGTTTCCCAAGCAATGTGATATGGTAGGTTTGAAATGAAATAAAACAAAATAAAAAAAACAGGTGTTTTTTATCTCAATTCTACCATCTAGTAGGTGAGTGACTCTGAGAAAGTCACAACTTCTCTAACCTAAGTAATGGGAACAAACAACACAAAAAAAAACCACTTCTCTTTTAGAGGACGATTATGAAGATTATATGAAAGAATGTACACAAAAACATTTTGCAAACCGTAAGTTCCTTTACAAATATTTGTAATCCACATAAGTAAAAACTGATTTGGTTGCAATTAGTTTGTGCTCAAACTCTAAGAAAGATATCCAAGTCAGTCCAATGTATAGGAATGAGAAACTCTTGATGTGCATCATTTGGGTGAATTCTATAAACAAATAATTAAGTCCCACAATAAATAGCTATTGAGTTGACAGGTTTACAAGACTATATTGAAGATAATCATAACAGAATTTAATTTGTGATATAACTTGTTTATATTCTTTCCACT